ACCATAGGAACTATGCTGTCTCCACCCAAACCTATCAATAAAATATGAAAACCTCTTCAACCAGCATGAGGCTGGGCAACCACTACAGTGAGTAACCCTTTGGAAAACAGTGCAATTGTGCTAGCAAGTGCCGAGCTGACACAAAGGATCACATTCATCTTTTGCATTGCTGCGTAGTTGTTCCTGCATCCCTTCTTGAAACAAAGACATTTTAATCCAGCTTTCATGTCATTTGTTTTCTTAACAGATTTTTGATGGCTTTGTGCTGAGACTTCAGGATTGCAACAAGAAAGTGAACAGGCAGGCACTGGAGGTGCTGGCTTTGATAATACCCTTGCTCAAAGACAGCTTACACCCCGTGCTGGTCTGTCTGGTAGCAGCAGTCACTGACAACCTCAACTCCAAGCACGCGGGGATTTATGCTGCAGCAGTGAAAGCGCTGGAGGCATCCATTTCTCACCTAGGTAAGGCTGCCCTCTGACGTTGACTCTCCTCAGCTGCAGCTTCTCCATCTCAGAGTCAAGTGAACACCATGTCTCTTGATAGCTGTTGTCATCCGTGCTACTATCCAGCTGCTACGAGATGTTTGTGAAGACCTGTCTGCATTCTTTCTATCCAAAAGTGTTGTATCATGTTGTGATGTGCAGCGGAATGGATGCTGTTTATCACGTGGATCCAGGGTCTGATACTAATTCAGTAGAGAGGACATTACAGGGATTCTTTAAGTTCCTGCCAGAAGAGCATGAGGGAAGTGACTAGTATGTCTCATGACTGTTTTTCCCCCTCCGTCCTGGGAAACTGCATGCCTCTTGTTTTTATTGAATTGGTTTTTTAGTATGTGCATTCTGTTAATTTTATAACCACTAAAACAAGATGAATGTTTTCTTTGAAACACATGGTGAGAAGGATGGTGGAGGGTCTTTGCTCTGTGTTTGTTCCACGCTCTGGCAGTGGCATTTGTCCCAAACAGATATGTCTGGCCCCAACATGAAAAGCTTTGGACTCAGCTACTCATTTTGCAGTTTTGGGCAGTAGTTTAGCCATGCCAAGCCTAAAGGAAAATGTCCTTTTGAATTCAAAGATTGAGACCTTGAATTTAATAAGCAACTGTGTAATGAAACACCATAGTGGAGAGCAGATGAAGGATGCCATGCTTGTTCCATAGTCAGCCTGGCTGTCTCCACGTGTGTGGGGTTACAAGTGCCTTAGCTCCCTTCCTCCAGATGTGTAAGGAGCCCATTATTATTATTATATAATTATTGTAATAGTATTATTATTATGCTTGAGCATGGGGCTGCAAGTATGCCTGTTGATGTAAAACATGTACCTGCAGTAGGGAGAGGCTGAGGTCCCTATCTGCCCTGTGTCCTGAACCATATGGCTGCAGGTTGTGCAGCATGTCTTCTGCTGCCTACCAGTGTCATGCTGAAGCTCTCGGGGATCCCCAGGCTCGTTCTGGCTGGGAGCACCTGCCCTGCAGAGGGCACCTCCAGCCCATTCCTTATCGCTGTCCAAAAGCGATGTGTTTGCATGCTGTGGACTGGCACATACAGTGGCATATCCCTTCATGGGTAATACTACAGAAGCGTACCTTGATGTCTTCATAGGTCATCAAAACAGCCTTCAACAGCTACTTTTTGGTCAGTGTGTTTGGAATTATTCCCTTGTGATCTGCTCTAGAAACTGTATGCAGGTGGGTACAAGCATATGGACATACTGTCCTGAAGTTAGCTCCCTGCTTCCCCTCACCTGCGAGAGGTTTTAGTTTGCCTTAATGTGGAGGCAGTAACCTAAAAATAAGGGAGTCAGAAAAGCAGAAATAAAAGGATGGGAGTAAAGTAGAATGGGATTCTACTAAGCTTTTTTTTCTTTCACCTCCATTTGATAGTTGATATTAATGATTCACGACAATGAGTACCAAGGATGGACAACTGGGTGGCTATCTAAGCAAAGAAGGGGCTCCTTGGGTTAGTTGCAGCCAGGGGACGCAGTTGAAAACCAGACCTAATCATGTCAAAAGTGTTGTTCTCTGTGACTCTTAAGTTATTCGTATGCACTTTATTTTAGGCAGCTGGATCCCCTGGAGGATGCAGCTGCAAGGCTTTAGTGGAGAGGTGTTGACATTGCCTGGCTTGCTTTCGGCACACATTTCCACCAGGGAGGGAGACTCAGGCTGCTCTGTATAGCTTGCTGGAAATGTTCATGTCTGCCCACTGAATCCTCAGTGAAGAGTTTCAAGTTTGGCAAGATGAATCCAGGTGTGAGTTTCCCTATTCAACTTCTGGCATAGATTCAGCAGCACATTGGCAATACTTGTGCTACCACTGTCATTGCTGCAGCGGTGACCAGAATTTTCTGGTTCCTTGGGCTCTTCATCTATTGCTTACTCCAGCTCTGACTTCTGTTGAAATGTGAGAGGAGAGCTGGTGGTGTGTGTGTACTTAGGCATGCAAGGACTTTGGTTTTGGAAAGACGAATGCCATCAATAAAAGCGTTCACCAGGAGGTTTTTTTACACTTATTAAAATCTACAATGAAAAGCGCATTCCACATAAAGTGTTTAGGTTCTATGGTTCATGTCAGGTTTGCAGATCCTCATGTCATTTATGCTCTGTTTCAATGGACCTGAATTCCTGCCAACTGTAGCTGGTGAGCTGGGTAACCAGAAGCTGTGGTGGTGCAGTCCTTATGCACCAGTTCCCAGGGAGGCTTGAATGTGTACCAGCATTCCCCCAAAGTCCCAGGAGCTTTTGTCTCAGTGCTGCTTGTCTGCTTTGGGACGGGAGGAGGTGAACAATAAATCCTGGTGTACCACTTGGCTAGAATTCTGGGACAAAGGGAATTTTGGAGGTTGTTTGGGCCCAATTTGACTTCCCAAATGAATTGCTTTGCTGTTGGCATGTAGGGACACTGGCCATCAGAGCTTCTGCAGAACAGCTTCCTGGAAGGCTCTACATTATAAGCATTAGCTAGTCCTGTCTATTTGCCATCTTTCTTCTTTGTCTTCTTTTTTGAAAAGGGAATTTGTGATTTGCCAAGTTCATTTCTTTAGAACAAACAGCTATAAATGCAGCTGTAAATGATGGCTTGTTCCTCATGTTGTTCTGCGTGGGGCAAGATTGCTATAGCCAAGGTCTGCTCTAAATTCCCTTCCCACGCAGATTTATATCAGCTGTGAAAATGCAGCACTGGGTGAATATGCCTGAAAAATTTAGTGTTGAAGAGGCAAGTCATAAAAGGGAATTATTAACTTTCTCCTCATAGGTGGCTTTGCGAACTCAGTGAATTTGCTGACCAGCTGCTTTTCTGTGTCCCAAGGACAAGGTTGTTCTGGATCATGAAGTGGGGAGAAGGGTGTGAGACCTGTACTGCTCTTGGCCTTTACCCATTTTTTGTGGTGCCTGGGAGAAGGTTGGGGAAAAATTGCAGAATCCTGCTAACACAGGATGTGGCAAACAGATCCCTACAGGGTTTTGTATGGAGCTTTCTGTTATTACCCTTTCACCAATTCTGAGAGACCACTGTAAATTTTCCATGCTGGTAGATGTCAGAACAGGAGCGAAGCATATCTGTCTCTCACCACACTGACTTTATGCAGACACAGGTTCAAGCAAACAAGGTGGGATATATTTTTTTGGTTCTGCTCATTTTTATGGACGTTTGCAAAAATTCGAACAGGCAACTGAATCACAAATGTTTTGAAGTTCAACACCTAGGGCCTTAGTGGGGGAAGGAAGGCTCTACTGGAAAAGTGCATGAGCAAAACCTTCCCATACGATTAAAATTGTCTGCCTTTACAGTTTAAAATCAAGTGGCAAATGGCACCCCCCCCCGCCGCTGAACTCGAAAGGATTGTGCAATGCTCCTATCTTAGAATAAGCGAGTGCAACATCTTGCCCCATTGCTCCCCTGAGTTTCATAGATAAAAGTCCAGCTATTGCTCTGAGACTCTGTTGACATGCCTCAGATTCTGAGTTTTAGGTGACCCTTCTTCATCTGTCATCTTTAATGACCTATACAGAAATGCAAGCTGGTTAGAAAATTGCCTGATCACTCAATATTAAAAAAAACTCCAAACAACAAAACACCAAAAAACCCAAAAGACAAAACAAAAAAGCCCCATCCTCGAGACCAAAATTCTAGCTACAAACAAAAAAATTTGCTTCCAAATAATGCCTGAATTGTTTATTTAGCTTAGCCCAGACATTGGCTTGGATGTCCCCAGCTGAAGGGCCCAAACATTCATTAGCTATGACTTGGGACCCTAATCCCACTCGAGGGAGCCACCTTGTAGGTGGGGGCGAACCAGCAAATCAAGCCTGACAGCAATGGGACCAAGACATATATCTTGCTCTCCTCTGACATGTGTCCTACCCTGTCCTCTGTCATGACAGACATTGCCCTTGAGACAGCTGCTGCCTGATGCCAGGGAATGGAATCAGGCCAGCAGCCTGAGTAGCTCCCGGAAGAACCAGCCCTGTGCAAAAGCGGAACAGAAATTTCCCCTGTAGGTATTAATATAGCAAAGAGGGGGCCACAGTGAAAATGAGAGCACAGAGAAGCAGAGTCTTCTGCTGTTCATATTGCAAACGCTGGGCTGGCTGTCCTGTGGCCAACAAGTTTATATGTGGTTTAATATGTGGTGCAGAGAATGAAAGCTGAGTTAATAAGAATGGAACTGCCTGCTGCCTTGTTTTCTCTAACAGCCATTAAAAGCTCCTCTGCCCCCAGGCCTCTCAAGGCAGCTAAAGTAACGGTTGGGTAAAATTGTTATTAGCTCGAGCTTTGCTGTTTCAAAATGCACAGGGCATTTAAAGCCCTTACATTGAAAGGTGAATAGTGCATATGAATTGAGATTCCCAAACACTAAGCAAACAAATGGTTCCCCCTCACCCACCCAAAACCCAAGTGTTCTCTGGGAAAGCTGTGTAGATGCTGATATTAACAATTAATTAACATTTTGGGGTCCTTCAAGATCTCCAGATCTCTGGGTGTTTCTTTCAAAGCAGCAGCTGTAAGGTAACTCTCTGGGGAGGAGCAGCAAGGGAGAAACAGCGTCTTTGCCAACACTGCAAGAGTGTGAGGCAAAAAGTGAAGTGTCTGCTTAAACAGGTGAATGAGAAGAGTGTAATTCCCAAAGCAGAAGTTTAATCAGGATGGCAGGATCCGTTCTTTACTGCACACTTGCAAGAACTTGATCATTAGGGACTTCCTTTTTATATCTCATGCCAAAAGAGGCACTTAATAGCAGGGTGCTACTTAAAACCTCTTTGGGCTTTGGCTCTGCAGTGGTTCACACAGAAGGAGGTTGCCTGCTTTATCGGTGCCCCTCCTGGTGACCCCACGAGGTATCGTAGCGCATCCCACGAGCTTTCTCCCTCCAAAAAAAGCTTTGCTTGGCTTATAAGAGCAGTAAGACCGGAGGCTTGCAGAGCAATCCAGGCAACAGTTCAGAAATTAAAACAAGACCCCAAATCAACACACAGGCAGCACAGGAAAAGCTAAAATACATACGACGGTCGAGTACTGGGAAATCAGTTCATTTTCTTGTCTCTCTGCCAAGACCTTATTTCAGAGGTGCTATAAGAGCCCCCGAGAGCGAATGGTGTTGGCAATAAGCAGTAATTCTCTCTTGTAAGAGGAACTTGGAGTCTTGTCCATAGACCGCAACAGGCATCTTAAGGATTTAGCACCAGCTTATCCTTAAAGAGTGAATGGATGGGTGGGTGGACTTTTGAGCCTTCTCACCTTTTTCCTTTGAGGAAGGAGGAGGCCACTTGTGCAAAGCGCCGGGACGCAAAACCTTTTCACTGCTTACATGTGAATTAAATCTTGAGGGCCCTGATGTCAAATGTTTAACACAGCTCCTCACACAGCAGTCAACCATGGATTTACAAATGTGACATGAGAGCTTTTCTTTTTGAATTTAAAATCCTCCCAAGAAAGCTTGAAGGAAAAAAGAAGAAAAGGACTCACAAACTGGCAGAAATTTGTTTTTCAAAATGCAGTTACCTCTGTGCCTCACCTCTTTCTTTTTTCTTATATCCTCAGATGAGTTATAAGAGAAATAAATGTTTCTCTTTCAGATAAAACATTGGTGCTGCAAGCACTTGCCCAGCGAGTGTGTTTCCTCAGCGGCCAAGCTCTGCTGGATGTCACAGAAGGTCTCTCAGGTACCGCCTGCTTCAGCTCATCTCCGCTTCTAAGTCCAGAAGTCTTCCGAGGGACTATTTAGAGGGAATGCCTCTGAACAGACAGTGCAGTAGCTCATCAAACACCAGAAGGCCCTGAGCTTGTCCCTCCTGCAAAATACACATAACAGGTGTATGTGGCAGGGGTCGGTTTGCCTGGCTGCTGCGGAGGGGAGCAGCATGTGAGACGGGGACAGCACTTGGGCTCCAGCGCCGAGCTCTCACTGGGCCATCTCAGGACGCGCCTCCAGGAAAGAGAGGGGCTGAAAATACCCTGGCTGCCTCCTCTCTTTGAAGGACAGTACAGTAAAGGTCATGGAGGTCAGTAAGAGGTCCCTTTTCGAAAGTGAAAGACCATCCTTTAGAAAAAACTGTGGCAACGGCTATTTCTGAGGGTCCGTTTGTTTTGTCACCACGAGATTCTGGTTTTCCTGTTGGAAACTTTTGAGGCTGAATCCTGCAGAGCCTGGAGGTCATATCATAGGAGAAAACTCAACACACATATTACAGGCAAGGATCTGGGGACAGAGGGGCAAAGTGGGCAGTTCAGCCCAACCCACGGGGGGTCCCTGCCTCTACTGCAGGTAGGACATTGGACTCTGAGCATTTCAGGATGTGCAAACAGTCCATTTCTATACCAGTGGTGTCCGATGCTACCAATGCAGCTGATAATTGATTTGTAATAGTAGCTTGCTGCGTCAGCAGTAGCCAAGCAATGGAAAGAAAATGATAACCTCAATATATAAGTGAGAAGACTATTTATAGCCATGCTTTAATCAGGGCTAAGTCTACTGCTAATTATGCCAGCATCTTTTAATCCAAGGTTTAATACACTTTGCTGCTTCATTCTGAATCTCCTTTATATCCTCTATATCCTTTAAAGATAATTTGAATGAAGTAAATCTCTATAAACATAGAATTTAGTTTTACAGTTATTTTAACCTCTTTTTCTAATACAGCATTTGAACATAAATCAGGACCACTTTAGAGAGAGCAGATGTTCTCTCTGGGATTTAGTGGGAACAGACAGCTCTTTCTCTTCCAAAGCTCCATAGTGACCGCTGTGTTTAATAGCATTTAAGCCCAAATTAACTCCCATTTTAAAATAGGTACCATAACCCTTTTCCTGCTTACCAGAATTGTTTTTAGGTACTTCCAGTACCTGTTTAAATGTTGATGACTGATGTGAGACTAACAGTGTAGAGAAGAGGAAGGTCCTTCCACTGCAGAATAATAAATGGTTACTGGATAACATTTCCATTGAACAGAAAATAAGAACTCTGTCTCCAGACCGTTTTGGATTTTGATCTCTCAGCAAAATCTGCCATGCAAGAAGCCTATTGGTAATAAATTTTTCTTTGCATTTAATATAGTTCAGAAAATGAGCTGAGAGCAGATTTCAGAGAGAAACAGAGGGAACGCTTATTTTTTGCTTAAATTTCAGCCTCCTGTGTAAGATTTTTCTCTCTGTGTTCCCATGTTTCAGGGAACATGGTGAGGGTAAATGCCATCAAAATTGTGAGATGCTCACCTGCCATGGCAATGGGGTCTGGGTAATAAGCTAAGCCATCCTGAAGTGTGAAACAGCTGTTCATTACAAGCCACCAAGTATGAGGGGAAAAAAGCCCAACTTAGACTGTTCTGCCAAAGACATCAGTTAGTCACTGGTGTTTCTAATAAAACCCACAAGCAGCACGCATCTTTTGTGGGCTGGAGTTTTGAAGACTGCTGGTATAACACTGCCGTTTGCTGTGTGCCACTGAGCAAAGGGGACTGCCAGATTAGACTCTGGGCATTTTTCATCAAAGGTCACCAAAAAGTAATCACCCTTTTCATGAGAAATCTTTCAACTGCCTCTCTGAGCTGCATTTCAAAATCTTCAGCAGCTGCTTTAGACAAGTTCTGAATGGGAACAAACAGCGCTTTGAGATTTTTGTCATTTGTAATGCAGAAGCAGATAGCGAAATGATTTACAAAATGTGTACGATTCATTTTGCTAAGTCTATCACGGATACAAAGCCTCTGATTTGGAGGACTCAAGGTCTCCAGAGGTTGGTGGTTCTGTTCAGTGGCTACTCAGGCACTGTTGCCTGTTTCTGGATCATCAGGCGCTTTGTGCTTGCTGCTATTAGCCAGAAAAGGCTTCCAAGCACCAAAAATGAAGGTATGTACTTGTTTGCATTAAGGTTGTTAAGAAGCTCGTCTCTCTCACCCGGCAGTGCTCGTGGCATCTGTTTATGCCCGGAAGCCCCAAGCCGTCAAGCGCTACGCCCTGCCCGTGCTCTGGTTCTTCCTGGGAAACAGGGTCCTGCCTGTCCGAAGCGGCAACGTCAGGGCTGTGGTCGCCGAGTTTGCAAAGAGCCTCTACGGAGTGATGGGCTCCAAGCTGCAGGAGCACGCTGCCAGCCAGCCTCAGCACGTGGCAAAAAACCTCCAGGACATTTTGGATCGGAATGCCGGCTGAAGGCTTGGTGTTGAGTGGGGCAGGTGGAGGCAGAGGTGGACGTGCGGGTGGCATTGGTTTTATCCTGCGTGTCTGAAGAACGGGATTTGCTCTACGGAGTTTATGGCTGCAGACAGTATGTTTTGATGTAGGCTTTTAAAAAGTAATAAAAAGCATAAAAGTGTTTTTCAAAAGTTTTCTATCTTGAGCTCATGTTATCCAGGAAGCTTGCATAGGTACCAAAAAAAGAAAAACCCATCTGTAAATGCAATTTGTAACGGTAAAGAGGGAAATAATATAGTTATATGCATGCTTAGAAAATGAGAGATGTGCATATATAGATATTTACTCACAAAGTAAGAGATGGGCTTTGGAAGCACTGGGGCTATAGGATTAGATGGCTTGACTCAGGAAGCAGAGAATGAGAGACCAGGCCCTGCTAGCCCAGAGGATGCGGTGGGGTTATCGGAGGATGTGCAGCTCACTGTAGGTGCCAGTGCACGCTGTAGGTGCCGAGTTACCAGGTGGCCCTTTGACAAGTCTCTGGTAGCTGCTGGTGCAATGGCAGATACCGGAGGCGTCCAGGTCAAGCTCAGACCCCCAGTCGCATGAGAGCAGAAATCTCCCCAGCTGCACTGACATTTTCTTCCCAACTCAGGGATGCATCTTGTCTGTAGTCCCCTGTGCTCTCCCGTGCAATGGGCGGATGTGGCGAGGGGACCGGTGCCATCTGACTGCCTCCCAGCACCTTGGGGCACCCCTGGGGAGATGCAGGAGAGGGGCTGGGGGCGGGGGGCTGTGCCACCTTGCAGGGGGTGCTGGGCAGTGAGTGGGCTGAGGGTGTCCTACAGAAGCTGGGGAGAGGTAAGCTGTGGGCAGGCATCATGGCACAAGTTACAGTTTCTTTAAAACATGCGCATTTTCTTAATGTCTCTTTTCCCCCTCTTCTGAGAAGCAAAGGGTTTGCCTTATACGCCAGCCAATAAAGCACTTCTGAACCTGAGATGCTGGAAACAGTGAGGAAGGGATGTGCCAGTCCTTCACCACACAAAGGTGTGGAAGCACAAGGGGAGAAATGATGAGAGAAAAGAGGAAGGCCTGAAGGCAGCGGGTGTTGGTGCGTCTGTATAGTCAGATAGGAAAACAGAGCAGCCTGATCTGTGTTCATATAATCCTCAATATCCTGGCAGAGGTCTGAAAGGAAGAAAAAACAGCAAAATATCACCAAGAAACACACTGGGCCCATGGAAGGTTAAAAGAGCCTTGACAGGTTCTTGACAGGTACAAGGACCTTGTATGAAGCTGGGAGGCCAGAGAATACTCCAGGAAGATCTGCCCATCCCAGGGCTCTTGGGGTCTTGCATGTATTTGCTGCATTGTTTGCTATGTCTAAAGCTACGCAGGGCTCCAACTTGCCAGATATGATTGCCTCATTAAGTTACCTCTTAAGGAATCTCTTTTTCTTTTTAGTACAGTACTAAAGTGGCAATATTATTTAGTAGACTCTTAGAAAATGTGGTTTTTGCTGCTGTTTTTTGTTGTTAACTCCCACCTTTTGGTAGCAGGAGCACTCAGGAACTCATCTCTGTGAAGTTTCTATGATTCTAAGTCTTGGCATGTGATCTAGGCCAAGCACCTGGCTCTGAAACACAAATGTTTCCCCTCTGGGGAACCTGCAGAGCCTGGTGGAAGCCACAGCGTCTTGAGAAGCTTTTCTAACAGCTTACCAGAAATGGGAACAGCCTGCTAGCATGTAGTTATTTTGCAAGCTGATGGGGCTCCGCAGAGTATATGTGTGCACCCAGATGCTGAGGGTGAAATGCTGGAGAATGTTAGAGGGTGGCTGCATTTAAGCAGCAGATCTTGAACTACGTCACTTCCTTAAGCACCTGCAGCTTGCTACTGCCCGAGATGTATTTTAACAGGCAATTATTTTTTTTTTTAAGCGGTTGGTATCTCTAAAGGTCCTCCTAGTTTTGCTTCCTCTACCTCAAAAGTTGTTCTTGCTGTTTCCCTCCTCTGCAGATCTCTACCTCTGGAGCCCCGTAAATGCTCCTCTGCAGCGGCTGCTTTTGCTGGGCTGAATAAAAGCTCTTTGGTTTTACGTTCTCTTTGTCTGAGCTTGGGCCCCTGGGAATGCGGGGGGAAGTTTCTGCACTTGGGAGCAAAAAAGCTTTTTTGCAGATCAGATGAGGCCTCCCAGGGCTTGGTTTTCTGCAAAGCAGGTTAAAAAAGTAACCCCTGTAACAGGTTTCTTAACTGTGTCGGCCTCAAGCGCTGCTTTCATGCATACTGTTCCCCACAGTCAATGAGAATAAAGCATTGCCTGCTGGTACCTATTTTCCTAAGTGTTTTATTTTTTTAACTCTCCAGCTGAGACCATTTCCCCAGGAGAGGGGCACTCCTACCTCAGCCAGATCGAATGTAGCTGGCAATGTGACTATCTGCAGAGACAAGCAGGGGGGTTAATGGGTGGGGGTTAATTCAGCTCAGGTGAGCTCTCCTGCCACAGGGTTGCACAGGTGCACATCTCAGAAGTTATTAAGAAGCTACTAAGGATTTTGGATGATACAAATAAAAGGCAGAGCAGTATTGAACCTTCTTCTAGCACTGGTAAGAATTTTAATATTTAATTTTTCTAACTTATGTTTCATATAATTTTATTACAATAGTCTCACCAGAGAGGAGATGGCAAGCTGCACTTGCAGGGCCAGTCTAAGTCGTTTAATTATTGCTTTTAATGTGCAGTGCAGCTGCTCACCCACAGAGGTTATGTATAGCAATCTTGTACATTGGCTTACTCTTACCCTATGCCCTGCCAGAGCCCCGGGACAGACCCTGGCTGCCACAGATGGTTCCTCCTGCTTGCTGAAGGTACGACTTGTTGTCCTCAAGGGAAGGTGAGGGATAAAAGGTAACATTTAGGTTCCCCTATGGAGTAGGAAGAGAGGGGTCTTGTGCCATCTCCCCATGCAAGGGAGCATTAGAGCTCTGAAGTTGCATGGGCACAGATCAGTACTATGTACTCTGAATCAGGTCTGCAAAACTCACTATTTCCTCAAATGGATGTTCTCTTCTCACCAAGAGTCAAAAGCACATGTCTGGTGGCATGGCTTATGTGCTCTTCAGAGTGCTTGTGCTGTGCAAATGTGTTAGCTGGACCCTGAAAGTCCCTGTGGAAATGCAGCCACAAACCCTCACATGAATGTAAATGCATGAACTTGGCAGTGCCAAGAGTATGCGGATGGGATGGAAAAATGAGTGGCAAATAGGCAGGGTGGCCAGGGAGGGAGGACAAGGAAGGAGGGAAGGATGGACCTGAAGTATGGTGTGGAGGCTGAAGACTGCTGTTGTAAATAATGTCAATGCTGCCTCGTGGTGCTGCTGTTTGAGGTGGAGTAGGGAATTAAAGCATGCACCTGGAGGGAGCTGCTTTTGCCGGGTCATGGGGTGTAATAAGGTGATTCTGGTAGAAGTTGCTCTTGCCAAGGTTAAAGGTGGGCTGGGGAACCAGCTGCTGAAGTCTCTCCCTCGCAAGCGGAGGGAGCAGGGCTGCACTGAGGTCGCTATTTTCGTCCTTGTTAAATAGTGATGATGGGAATAAAAGTCATTGCATTGCTACCAAATCTCTGACAGCTGACACTGAACCCTGATACTGTGATACTGCCTTTGATACAGGCAGAGGTGAGAAAACCACTCTAGTTAAAATTAGAGTTGAACTGAACCTTTAAGCCTCCCCTCTGCCATGGTATCTTTAGCTGAAGAAAACAGTAACTTTGGCCAACAAACTGCCCCTGTGTATCCTAAAGAGCCCCCCCAATAGTTTTTGAATGCAATTGGCAGTGGTAAAGGAGCTTGTAAAGCCTCTCTCTGTGCTGATAGCTGTGCCCCGGATAAATGAAGGCTGTGCTCCTTTCACAACTGTTTTATCATATTTCATCTCTGCTGCGTTGGAGAGCAGCAAGTAAAAACTCTGTCCCCTTTGGAGACTGTGGTGAAGGCTGCAGGATGCACAGGTCTGTCACTACCTGCTGCTGGATCTTGGAACAGATGTACCTGCCCAGTGGCCAGCACTGCAGTTAAGCCCAGGCTCTCGGGCACAGCCTGAAATTTCATGTCCCTTGTGATTTGACTGGAGAGAACAATAACCTGCCCATAATCCAGGAGGAAGCAGTTAAGGACCTGTTAAGCCACCTGGACACCCACAAGTCTATGGGGCCTGATGGGATCCACCCAAGAGTACTGAGAGAGCTGGCAGAGGA